ATTTCTGCCCTTTTCACTTGTGAAATCAGAATAATTAGAATGTGCAGCTACTTGATATTTGTGTTTCCACGTTCAGTGGTTACATTCCGTTCTTGACCCTTCCAGTGACCCACACATTCTGTTCTTGGTCAAGCACAGCGGAAGATAAAACCCAAACCTTCAACGAGAATGAGAACACGGATACGTAATTATAAAACATGTTCAATTCGGAGGGGCATGCCGCTTTTGCGATAAAGTACATGGTTATGACCCTTGCTTGCTGACCCGAACGTTTCTGTTTCGATCCCGGAAGCGCCAGTCAAATTTTGATGATGGATATATGAAAGAGGAATGTGTACTAAGACAAAAGGGCTAAACGAAATAAAAGACAAGATGGCCGAAATTCCCAGAGCTTTTCACTATTTGATTCCTAATATTTATAACGCACTTTTTACACGTTAAACCAGAGATAGTTAGGAGGAGGATGAGGAGGAGGAAGAAGATTGAAAGAGGAAGGACAGGGAGGTTAGCCAGTTCTCAGCCCCGCCGCGGTGGTCTAGTGGCTAAGGTACTCGGCTGCTGACCCGCAGGTCACGGGTTCGATTCCCGGCTGCGGCGGCTGCATTTCCGATGGAGGCGGAAATGTTGTAGGCCCGTGTGCTCAGATTTGGGCGCACGTTAAAGAACCCCAGGTGGTCAAAATTTCCGGAGCCCTCCACCACGGCGTCTCTCATAATCATATAGTGATTTTGGGACGTTAAACCCCACAAATCAATCAATCAATTAGCCAGTTCTCAGACCGGCTGGATACCCTGTACTGAGGTAGGGGGGTAAGGGGGATAAAAGAGGAAAGAAATGACGTTGAAGGAAAAAAAGGGAGAGAAGGTCATCAGACGATCCAGAGATACTTGTATTACTATGCGGTCGTGGGTATAAACGGATGAGTGTTGCAACTGAAGTGGCGTGGGAGTGACTGCTCAAAACATATCCGCTCAAAGCACATCAGGGCCTGGCCCCTACCTTGTGAGCTTTTCCTTTCTTTTTTCCGTTTTTTCTTGTTACCTTGACGTCTGAGCGAGTGGTCGGGAGCTTGTTTTCGCAACATTTATTACTTTGAAGAGAAGCCAGCGGAAGTGGGAATTCGTGCCCCGTTATGTTTACAGGCACATACGCTGCGAACTGCTCAAGGGCTTATCTGTTTACAGGACAGGAAACGAGCAGTCAAGTTGAAGACCACCGCCGACATTGCAGCAGGCAGCTCTCAACGGCTGCTGTTTCACGCGTTCATGAATGATTTGTATTTATTGGTTTCAATTCTTTTTCTGCGCTAAGGGGACATCAGGAAAGAAAATCAGAAGAGCACGCTCTGGCGCCTGTTACTTGCACGGTAAACGTGACTCGAGAAAGTGGCAAGCCGTGCACAAAAAAAGGGGAGGATAACACTGCTCAATTATTTGATTGGCCGGCAATCCTGTCGCGAGTTCTGGGGTTTGGAACGTCGACACTAATTTTAGGGTACTTCAGCACGTCTTATCTGCATGCTCTGCAGATAACGGGTGCATGCGTGCGGAAAGCTTGCAAGCAGTCATAAATGGAGTTTCCTGTGGCGTGAACGTGAAATGCGACATCACTGATACCGTTCAACTGTTTTACTTGTGAAATCAGAATAATTAGAATGTGCAGCTACTTGATATTTGTGTTTCCACGTTCAGTGGTTACATTCCGTTCTTGACCCTTCCAGTGACCCACACACTGTTCTTGGTCAAGCACAGCGGAAGATAAAACCAAACCTTCAACGAGAATGAGAACACGGATACGTAATTATAAAACATGTTCAATTCGGAGGGGCATGCCGCTTTTGCGATAAAGTACATGGTTATGACCCTTGCTTGCTGACCCGAACGTTTCTGTTTCGATCCCGGAAGCGCCAGTCAAATTTTGATGGTGGATATATGAAAAAGGCATGTGTACTAAGACAAAAGGGCTAAACGAAAAAAGACAAGATGGCCGAAATTCCCAGAGCTTTTCACTATTTGGTTCCTAATATTCATAACGCGCTTTTTACACGTTAAACCAGAGATACTTAGGAGGAGGATGAGGAGGAGGATTGAAAGAGGAAGGACAGGGAGGTTAGCCAGTTCTCAGCCCCGCCGCGGTGGTCTAGTGGCTAAGGTACTCGGCTGCTGACCCGCAGGTCACGGGTTCGATTCCCGGCTGCGGCGGCTGCATTTCCGATGGAGGCGGAAATGTTGTAGGCCCGTGTGCTCAGATTTGGGCGCACGTTAAGAACCCAGGTGGTCAAAATTTCCGGAGCCCTCCACCACGGCGTCTCTCATAATCATATAGTGATTTTGGGACGTTAAACCCCACAAATCATCAATCAATTAGCCAGTTCTCAGACCGGCTGGATACCCTGTACTGGGGAAGGGGGTAAGGGGGATAAAAGAGGAAAGAAAAGTGACGTTGAAGGGAAAAAAGGGAGAGAAGGTCATCAGACGATCCAGAGATACTTATATTACTATGCGGTCGTGGGTATAAACGGATGAGTGTTGCAACTAAAGTGGCGTGGGAGTGACTGCTCAAAAACATATCCGCTCAAACACATCAGGGCCTGGCCCCTACCTTGTGAGCTTTTCCTTTCTTTTTTTCCGTTTTTTCTTGTTACCTTGACGTCTGAGCGAGTGGTCGGGAGCTTGTTTTCGCAACATTTATTACTTTGAAGAGAAGCCAGCGGAAGTGGGAATTCGTGCCCCGTTGTGTTTACAGGCACATACGCTGCGAACTGCTCAAGGGCTTATCTGTTTACAGGACAGGAAACGAGCAGTCAAGTTGAAGACCACCGCCGACATTGCAGCAGGCAGCTCTCAACGGCTGCTGTTTCACGCGTTCATGAATGATTTGTATTTATTGGTTTCAATTCTTTTTCTGCGCTAAGGGGACATCAGGAAAGAAAATCAGAAGAGCACGCTCTGGCGCCTGTTACTTGCACGGTAAACGTGACTCGAGAAAGTGCAAGCCGTGCACAAAAAAAGGGGAGGATAACACTGCTCAATTATTTTGATTGGCCGGCAATCCTGTCGCGAGTTCTGGGGTTTGGACCGTCGACACTAATTTTAGGGTACTTCAGCACGTCTTATCTGCATGCTCTGCAGATAACGGGTGCATGCGTGCGGAAAGCTTGCAAGCAGTCATAAATGGAGTTTCCTGTGGCGTGAACGTGAAATGCGACATCACTGATACCGTTCAACTGTTTTACTTATAAAACAAACTATACCTAATGAATTTACTTGTGGTAGCTAATGCTTTATATCTTCTTTTTTCTTTTTTATCTTAAAACCTTCTACATTTTGCCACGCGTCGAAAGTGCCGGTGATACCGTTCATATACGACAGACTATTTTCACGACACTGTTTCGTTCGTTCCATTTTGTTTTTCTGGGTCCATGATTTTTTTTCACCACATGCAGGCTGCTGGGAGCAGAAATGAAGGTGCTACCTAAATATTGTAATAACGATGATATCTGGGGTATTACGTCCCCAAAACACGGTAAGATTAAAACAGACTCCATTGTGCAGCGCTTCAACAATTTTGACCATCTCATGTTCTTTAACATGCGCTGACATCACACATCACACGTACCTTAACCATTTCGCCTCCACTGAAATGCGACGGCCATAGCCAGGATCGAACCAGCGACCTTCTGCTCAGCAGCAAAGCACCTTAGCCACTGATCCACCGTGGTGGACACGTAATAAATGTACGAAGCAAACGCTGACCTCCGCAAGCAACACTGACATGGCTGCAAGAATGCGTTGCGCATGGTACCTACCCTGACGTCATTGCCACTCTTCCATTATTTTCTGGACATTGTAACGACCTACCATCCCCGATTATTGGGCCTCCTCTATTCACTGTTAACTATACAAAATAAATTACCGCTAAATGCCTAAGATTACACCTTACCCTAGTCCAGCTTTACATTGGCGCTGCGCTGTTGTTCACTTAGCTAAATAACAATCGAGTTATAAAAACCTTGTTATAAAACCGAGTTATAAAAACCTAAATAAAAACCTTGTTTTGCACTGCAAAAGCTGCGGGTGCCAGCCTCGATCTCCGGGCGTGAGTGTGCTGGCACGCCACATGGACAAGTTAACTCGGGAAATAGCTGAAGCGTATTTTATTAGAAAAAATGATGACGGATGCGTGAGCCAACCTTCGGTGGCCTTGCATGACAAAGAGTTTGCGCTTTTAGATAAAGGTTAGTCATTTTTGTACCTTTTTTTTCATCAGAACATTTCCCAGAATATGTCACGTTGCTCACGTGTGCTGTTCAAAGGTTGCCTGTTGTATATATTATCGTGTGTGCTGCGAATAATAAAATTCAGTTGGTAGTCAGCGCTCGTGCTGTCCTCTTTGCCTTCCGTACCTCGACTTTCGTCTGTTTCTTCTACCACATTCGTGCTCGCGCTGCAACCCTTATCATAAATAACAATCGTATTTATCTATAGCTAAGTAGGTGATGACGAAGCAAAAGGTAAAGAACGAAGAGAGGAGGAAGATAAGGATGGGAAGTGAGGAAGCTCAACCCGACACGCGTCCAGTTTCTTATGAGACGCTGGAGGAAGAAGATCAATATATTGGGAATATGTAAAGAAGCCGGCTTACAAAAAATTCACGAGAGCTTAAAGCGTGCTGCTTCTTTGCACAGTACCGAACTTTGTACATTAGGCATATCACGTTCGACTGCAAGCATCCGTGTCACTGCGCCTACTGAAGCCTTGCAAGTACTGTACATCCAGTACTTGCAGTACGGAGAGTATATTCAGCTTGCCAGAAAAACAAACAAACCGACAGTGTATCTAACAGTCACTCCACAAAAAGTGCGAAGTCGCAGGTACGTGCAAATTCCCACGGGACGTCAGCCTCAGTGTACACTGAATATACGACTGACAAGTTGCCTGAAGACAAATCAACACAAAAAATAAAACAAAGAACAAAAAAGAATGCCTTCTCCTCCTCACCAGGCTTGCTGTGTCGTAGCATCCTCAATATCTCTCTCCGCGTCGGCATTGGGTAGAGTGGCTCTTGTTCGGAAGTGCTCAGGTCCCGTTCAAACCTTCTCAGCGGATCGGTGACGAATAGGTGGGAGTGGTAGAGGCGCGGGTGTAGCCCTAAAAAGGGTAGTCGCAAACACGCGGCACTTTGTACTTGAATCATCGTAATACTTATGACAGTCACTACTCTATGATTCCGGTTTTAGGATGTAACCGTAGTGACCTCAATGGGCAAATTTACAACAGAACTGCTGCAATTCAGTACCAGGGAAATGTAACGCGGAGCGGGAATCAGGCTGATTGATTCACGCAGCTTATTTACACGTCTTACTATTGCCCCACCTGATGTTTTTTTTTTTCATTTTTATTCTATTATATGCTACCATTCTATAGGAAGTGTGATTTCCGCCTTTCGCAAACTGCACTCGATTGACTCGGAACCCTCAGATAATTTTATAACCTTGCGACGGGATTACGCGCATGATGCACCCGTTAGCACTTGTTCTGAAGCGTACACGGCAGCTGACGAAAACGCGGGAATCTCTGATGGCACATGCATAAATGCTGACAGGCTTCATGACAGATTATCGACTTCCGACGCTCTGTTCACCGACACCACTGTACAACGCGAATCACTTGTACTTCGCCTTTTGAATTTCTGGGCCCAGGTTCACCCAAAGGAAAGGTTTAGCCGCAAACATCTTTGCTACTGCGTTCCGCAATGCCACTACGGGATGCTTTCATCATGACCTGTTATTAGAGCATTTTGCGAGAGGGTAGTAGCTCTCAGCAAATTATGTCTGTGATCGTGGTTTACCAACAATCGCACTAACAGCTCCAGCTTCCTTTAGCAAAAAATAATGCGAGTCTTTTGGTTAACATGAGCAAAGAACTTTCGAAATGGTAGGTGGTACGAAATACAAACAGATATTGAAGCAGCACTGACGAACTGTCATTAGTGCGAACCACGCTGTTACCGGATATGTACAACCAAAACTTTACTGACAACTCAAAAAATAAAATCCGTATTCACAAAACAGGTAGGAATCATGAAGGTAGCGCAACTTCTTCAATCGCGACACTAAGCAGCTTCATTTATAACGCACTCACCTAAAGTTGGAAACTAGCATAGGTGAATGTTACCGTAAGCGCTAAGAAATGTTAAAGAGAGTTGGGACTTACCCCTTCTAGCATGGACGTTTTGGCATATGACAAGCAATCCAGGCAGAACGAGTATGGACGTAAGTCGAAACAATCTTCGCAAGGCCCTTAAGTTATCCATTGTCCCACAACGTTGGATGGATTCGCGGATACGCTACAGCACGTAGTCAGAAACACTTCGCAGGAAACACTTGTCGCAAGATGTCTGGCATTGCTGCTGCAAGCGAAACTTCAATATTTGTCGATAAGGAAAGAAGGAGATATCACAAGCAGTTCGTCTTGTCCTTCAACGAAACGCTGGTGAAAGCGAGATTTTTTTTCTGTAACAATGAGAGGGGGGGGGGCTGCTATCTTAAGTTTCACTCGATGACGCAATGTGTTCCACCGATGCTACGTAGAGGTAGGGTAGAGTGAAGTGTCGTAGCATCATTCTTCACTATTGTTAGAAGGAAAAGTGTTTCACATTGGGTGATACTGCACTCTTGATGTTCATCCACACTTCTGCAGTTCACCTGAGGAAACGCAGGATGATGCGATTGATGAAGAGCGACAAAAAACACGTGACTGACGAGCAATCCGTGTAGGATCCGGTGGCAGCAGGCTTCGGCGATACTACGAAGAAGACAGCAGACGTCGTGAATCGGAGCGCGTAGCAGACGACGCACAGGTGACACGCACGCGATAACAGGTGCAATAACGCGGTGGGTAAACAATTCAGCTCGCGGATTTTTTCTGAGTCTACAACGCTAGCGCTGCTCCATCGTTGATGGTGTATAAGCCGCAGTCATTTTTACTGCTGAGAAAGAATCGCTGACACGAGATATAACAGGGCGACTGAAAGATAACGTGTGGCCGAGCTAATACGAAACAGCGGCGCCACCGACCGACTGAAGCGCTGGAGAGCTGAATGTGCTCTCCGTGGTTTCAGCCGGTCGTTCAACACAACGCCGGGTCTAAGAGAAGAGAGGAGTTGGGTGAGAGAGAGAAGGAGTAGGGAGGAGAGAGAACAAGCGAGGTGCTACGAAAGAAGCAGAGCGCGAGAGACTGAATGAACAGGAGCACCCTCGCAGTGCGTGCGCATGCGTGAACTCCTGTTTTTGAAGATCTCACCCGATGTTAAAAAGAAGCAAGGAGAGGAATGAGGCGCCGCGTAGTGACCGCCGACACAAGCATCACGGTGTGGCGGAAAGATTGAACGAGTCGGGATGCGGTGGAGATAGTAGAGCAGCTCTCTGCGAGAAGTTGGTTGATATTAAAGACGATAGTCTTTCTTGGGACACCTTCGACGCCAAAATTTTGGCCTGTCCGTCTGTACAACTGTCTGTTTGTCAGTGGTAACGATACTCCTAACGGCAACAAACGACACCTCAAACGGCCAACCCCATCCGCAACGCCCACGAAAATTCGCCAAGTTTCAGCGTTCGTACTTGTGTGATTGGCAATTAAAAAAAATTGGCCCCGTATCTGCATGTTCTCAGGAAATGTCGTCGAAAGACGATAGTCTTGCGTGTAGAAAGAGTGAACAATAGATTTGATGTTTTGCGCAAGAAAATCGGTGAATGGAATTCTGAAGGCGTTGCGTTAGAGTGCCTCGAGCGTGCAGCGTAAGGGAACGAACGCATCAAGTCACGTCACACGTGAGACATGACCGCCATCTGGCAGTTTTCTTGAAAAACGAAGCACGTGCCTCTGAGAAGGGTGTGCACGCCCGTCTCAGAGGTGATAAGGTGTAGAACGCAAGGCAAGGGGTAGGTGCCACCACCATCTCGTCTTAGCAAAGCGTTGCAAACACTCACCTTTTCGAGCATGCGTTGCATGGTCAGCGCAGCTGGATAAGCGCTACGGTCCTTAAACTTACTTATGTATGCTTTTTCTAGTAAAAATGCATATGCAGAGTATATAAGTGTTGCTATGGTGCCGCAGACATGCGCAATAATTGCTTAATAATTGATTATTAATTGATTATAAATTGACAGTTGCACAAGTATGAACGCAAAACCTTCAGCAACATTGGTGGGCGCTGCGGATGGTGCCGGCTGTTTCAAATATCCGGTGCTATTAAGAGTGGACAGACAGACAGACAGACAGACAGACAGACATACAGACAGACAGACAGACAGACAGACAGACAGACAGACAGACAGACAGACAGACAGACAGACAGACAGACAGACAGACAGACAGATCAATAGTTTTGCGTCGAAGGTCCCTAAGAAAGACTATCGTCTTTAAAAGCTAATTTTGCACATACCTGAGGCACCATAACAACACGTCGATGTTTTCTATGTGTGTCTCTATACTATAGAAGAGACACATAAGTAATTCTAAGGACCGTACATAGCGTTCATCACGCTACGCTGGCAACGCAACATGATGCTCAAAAAGGCAAGTGTTTTCAACGCTTTGCTAAGACGACACGGTGGTGGAACCTGCCCGTCACTTTGCGTTTTGCACTTTAGCGCCTCCGAGACAGGCGCGCATCTTTCTCTGAGGACGGTCACGCCTTCTTTGTTTTTGAAGACAACTGCCAGATGGCGCTCGTGTCTAAAGTGCCTCGAATGTACTCGTTTGCCTTCGCTGCACGGATTGAGACTCTCTAACACAGCGCTTCGAGAATACAGTTCACCAATTTTTTTCGCGTAGAACACCAAATAAACGTTTTGTTCTCTCTCTCCACACGCAAGACTGTCATCTTTCGACGACATTTGCAGTGAAACATGCTGATTCGGGCCATTTTTTTTAAACTGTGTTCGTTAAATGGAAAATTGCAAGGTTAAGATGAATCAAGAAAATGACGAGCCGACTTTTGAACGTGTTATTAGAAAAATAGTGGTACAAGCAGTGCGATATACATATAAACAACCAAACACACAAAAAAGAACGGTCTTGAAACGCGGTGTTAAATATGGGATATGTTAAAAAGCACAATGACAGCACCAATATTTGCGTGCACGTCATACCGATGCAATATGAATACGAGTTTATCGCCGATCAACTCATTTAAACCTTCATGATGGTAAGCTTATGCGAAATAAGAGCTTTGTTCCACAAGCTAGTGTAATATGGGTTACATTGGTACCACAGCTTTTCGTGTTCAGAGAAACGTTCCTGTCTGCACAGTATATCGTCATTTGATAAACTTCTAAACACCTATTTTGTTTTCTGCAGCTCACTTCTTTATCATCACTTTTTTGCATTACAATCACTTCCCCTGTACAAGTCTAACTGCTACGTTATAATTGACACCGCTTTGGTAGGACCTTCGCTTCCATATTACCAAGCTGTGTCTTTTTTCCAGTACTTTCGCAATATGAAGCTATAATGTAGATTGCTGTGCTACACATCATTTTGCCTACCTAACACCGTACATGGCGATGCGATGCTTTAGCTCTTCCCCTCTTCTTTTACCTTACTTTTCCTACCCTAATGCTGTACACGACTGTGATATAAATAACTTTACCGAAGTGACAACTTACAAGGTCATGCTATACGTAACCCTCTACATTCCTCCTTTTCATCTTTCTCAACCTCAGATAACTCCTCAACGTCACTTCTCTTTGCCTTTCCCTAGCTAAACATGACCATGCTATATATGGCTATGCTATACGTTATTTTTCCTGTTACGTGTGGTGATATCAGATGACAACGACAAAACACGATGACACACCATACAACAGCGCGGCCCCTAAGGTGCTATGCACTTGGATATGTTACACTGGAGTTGGAATGCGCATCTCAAAATTGGAATGAACACCAGAAGAATGTCCAACAAAGAGGCACTAAATATAAAAGTGATGGCACTACAGCGCAATACCGTGTTTGCAAAAGACATTGCCGTAAGGCTCGACGAAGAAAAATTTGTTGAAGATTTAGAGTGAAAAGTTCTCTAGTAACGGGGAGAAATAAGCATCCCGCTTCATTGAGAATGTCTGACGGCCGTCATCACGTGCCGTTGTCAAATAGAAAGGAGACGCAGCGCTCGGAGGCGCCTCGTCTCAGAGTCTCACGTCACTGATCAACCCGTCATCATTCATACGTGTGTCCCGGCGTGTCCTCTCCCCCAGGGTCGAGAAAGGGGGAAGTTTTGGTACGGGCAGATGGCGATACCCTGACAAGGGGGCCACGGTTCGACGCTGGGCGCCAAACAGACGCGGCCTGCTTTTCGGCGTACAAGCCAGGGAGGCCCAACATAGGAACTATCCTTCGGTGCAATAACTTCGATCAAAACACACAAAGCGGACGTATTCTGGCAAGGTGGGCTAAAGCAGCGCGTGGGGCGTGCTGCGGTCACGGCTCGTCTCCTGACCGCTAGGGCCCAGCGAGACATAATCCGTCCTTTGCGGACTACGGGACAACTGCTTGGTGCAGAAGCGAATGCCGCTGGACGCAAACCGAAAGTACCCTGGTGTAGTGGTTAAGGGACGTTCGTCACTATGTTTGTTGATAGCGGACAAGAAAGGACTTACATAAACTTTTTTTTATTTCATGGCATGGGTGGAACTACTGACGACGCACGGATACGCTACCGTGTGCAGCGCCGTTGAGTCGCAACTGCTGAGGTTCAGGGTCAGGCCCCGGCTCACGAGGACCACACCCGGTAGGCCTCGTCCACGAACCTGCTCCCGGCCACTGCACCCAGGCAGGAGCCGTTCAGCAGGCCCCGTCCTTGCACCTTGTACCGGCCGACGGACTCGACCTCGAACAGACACACCGGAGCTCGACCTGGCCGACATTTACGGGTCCCACGTCCGGCTCAGGAACGCTGCCAGGAACTCGTCCTCTCGAGCGGCGCACCGTTTCGTCTAAATTCGTGGCCTCAATCCTCGAGCTCTTTTTCCCACCTTCCTTCTTCTTGGCCAGGGCACCGCCAGGTACCCTCGGGTGCACACGTCAGCTCATGAGCTTGCGGCCCACGTCGGAGTCTGGCGCGTCGCTCGGTACGGCTCGGCACCGCTCGGCGATCCTCGATTCAGCCAGAACTCCCCTGGCACCTGGATCCTCGGCCACCCTGGACCTCGCCCGGCTCCGTGGTCCTCTGTGCACACGCCCGCGTCTCGCCCGGCAGAACATCTCGCTCGTCCCTTGCCGAAGTGCGACGCTCTCGTGACACCGGCGCTTGATGGCATGGGTTCGGCCACGGAGCAGTCAACCCGCATCGGAGACGCGATGCTCCATGCGGGGCATGGCCAGCCCGTCCAGCGAAGAGCGTGCGCCGAGAAGCGATGCTCG